GGAAAGACGAAAATGAGAAGTGGAAGAGACGACATTAAAATTACATATTTGCTCACATACACACAATTTTTCATATATATAGATATGCAGCAGTAAAATTGTCGTATGTTGTCGTATGCTGAAACTGCAGTGGGTAACAAAAACGAAGACTGGGCTATTAAGAAAAGAAAAGCAATTGGGCCTCCCCTACCGTCATCAGAATCTTCAAGGTTCAGCTGCAGATTAACAACTCAAGGCACAAGGAGAAAATAAAAGTAAGAACTTTGGTAAATCCCGAGAGTCAAATCGATAATTAAAAATCGAACAAGCATCCCAGCATTGTCACTTGCTAACTCACTCACCCAACCACTCACCCACTCACTCAATTCAATCAGCCCCTCAAGCAGCTCAAGAGCGAACTCGAAACGCGCATAATTTGGCAAGTTTCCAACAGCCAACAGCTAACTTCACCAAGCAGTTGGACGTTGGCACCATATCGATGCCGTCTTTGATGCTTCTGCCGTGACTGGGCGATGCATCTGTTCAGAGTTCCGGTTAAACAGTTTTCTGAGCTATCAGGCACGATGGCAAACGTTTTAGCTCTTAACTGTTTTTATCCGAATTTTTTGTCATTGTGAAATAACGGTGAACAAGAACGAAAAGGAAAAAATATAATGAAATAGGAGACTGCACCATTTTTAGTGGTGATTTGTACTGTAAATGCATATATCTTAATGTCTTGTAAAATTTTTTTGCGCTTATTAAAGCCAGTCCATTCTATGACTTCTTTTTGCTAAAATTCAGATTGAAAAACTGATCACTGGGTTTTTTTATTCACTTACTTACTTCTTGATGGCATTTTAAACCAATCTTATTCATCCTGTTCTTCTTTCTTTCCATTGCTGTCGCGTTTTCATATTACAATTCTTTTTTTTTCGATGCAATAAGTCTATCCGTTTTCAAAGGGGGTCAATAATGAAAGAAAGGGTTCAGGGTTACGGGGAAAGGGAGTTGTGAAAGTTTCAGGAGGCTACAGTTAGTGGTAAGTTTGAATTTGATACACTTCAGAATCTTATCAACTGCATATTAGTTCATAGTAAGTATTCGCTTCAAAAACTCTGTCTGTAGGCAACTCTTCGATCCCGGCGATGATTTTTTTTGCTTTTCTTAGTAATCTTTACCAGAAAATCTTCTGTAAATCTAGCAGGTATAGTGACAAAAGATGGAGTATTGTTTAAAACTAGTAAGATTAATATGAAGTTTGTTACGAAAAAATCCTAATGGAATTTGGTTGTCAGGTTTGTGACTGTGTCAGTTCCTGACGTCTCTGTTGTCTTTTGCTAATTGCGAGTTGAATTAATGAGTACGAGCTGAAGGATTAAATTTTTGTAAAAAGAGGCTAAAGCACATAACGCCGAACTGCAGAAAATAATGGGCGAGTGGTATGAAAATTCATAAATCTTTTCGAAAACGTTTTTTTTGTACAAATTTTTTGAGTTCCTCAAGGTAGTGAATGTCTAAAGCCAGCAGTTTGAAGGGTTCTTCCATTGCCCGCCCCGCGTAACTATGGGAATATAACAACGGAATGGTGTGGTGTAGCAGGGTGGAGAAATTATTTATTATAACATTTTTTCTGAAAGTGAAATCTTTCTCTTTTTTTCTTGGTAAAAAAAAAAAAAAAAGAATTTCAAATTTCTAAAATGCCCAACTTTCTGCCGTGCGGAAAAAACATGATCTTTTTTTTCTGTTTAAAATTGTTTAAAATTGTCATTAACCAAAAAATTTTTTGCTGCTTCGATTAATCAGAAAATATACATGTATTTGCGCAACGTATTACTTAAATTTGCTTTTTTCCTTTGAAATTTTCTTCTCTTAATCATGTCCCTTTGATAATGCGTTCATTGTACATATTTTTTTAAGTTGATTCTGAGGCAGATGTGCAGTTTTCTGTCCAAAATTTACAAAAATTATACCATGGCTCAGAATTACTTTTCTGATTAGAGCAGGAACTAGAAGAACCAATATGACATATACTTATTAATCGGTTCAGTTTTTTTTTATTGCAGAAATTGAGGGCCAAAAGATCAAAAATTTATTGGAAGTAATTTTGCTATGACCTGATTAGATAGCATTTTAATCGAAAAGGAACAGTTGTAAATGTTTTAACTAGTACGTATTTGTACAGCAAAAATCTACAAGACTGACTGTGAGCAGCGACGCCCAGCACTTTAATGTTTTCACATTTTTGTTATTCTGAAAAGAAGTACTTTCCAGTAGTCGTGACGCGATCGGTAAAAAGCAAAATAAAATTCGCTCTTATTTTCATCAATTTTTTATACAATTTTTTTCGGTTCTATGCAGTAATGGTTTACCTTCTGGTGTGTTTACGATAACCTGAGCAGACCAAAAGCAATCAAAAACCGGGTTTTTCTAACGTGACCGCATCATCTTTTAAGTTAGCTCATTTTTTTGTCCGGTAGAAGACTTTTGCAGTGTACCAGCTATCAGATTGTTCAGAATTATATTAAAAGCTATTCCGTTATCAAACAGATGATCTTTGTGAGTACGTCTTATCCTGCCAGAGGCGTATGCCTGCTGCACTTAGATACTTTGATGGTTTTTATTAAGTTTTTAGATACTTGAATATTTGTTTCCTTTATACATTCCATTAATTTATTAGTATCTGTTGTGGAATTTTAATTTTTTATCTCATTTCTAAATTTAAGATACTTCTATATTTTTTCGGTTTTTCCTCGTAACTGTTTATTAACAAGTTCTTAATTGTTAGCAGTCCTTCTTGCGGCGCAGGTTTATGGGTTTCTCTGAACCAGACAGCAAAGGAAAAACGTAAGTTTTGTCATAGTTAATGTTATTGCTTGGTGGAGAAGGAGGGAGTTTCTATGTAGTGGCAATATTTATGTGGTTTCTAACGAGGAAGTTAACAAATTTTGTAGTTTAAAATTTAAGCATAGTTTAGGAGATTTTCATCTGGTTTTTAGATAGTTTGTGTTTTGTAGTAAGTGTTGCTTCGCATAGAAACTTGAAAAATTTTGCAAAACGGAGTGGTTTTTTATTCTTGACAGTTCCAGACAGCTTTCCACAAAAGACGCCATTAATTTGCAGAGTTAGCGCCTGAAGAGGGAGTTTTTTTAGAATAGATGACTTAGTCATTTAGTTGATTACCTTCTTGTTCAAACTGAAGTACCACCACTATCTGGTTACCTTTGTTAAGTATCTATTACTGTGATGTAACATTTGGGTAAGTGTGTTATTCTGAATTTTAACGACATTTTACTTCAGTGTTTTATTGGAAGTTGTTCAATCGGGAGCTGGAAGCATAAAATTTTAGGAATATATGAGGTTAAAGTGCTATATAGATAAGTATTTGGTGAGGGAGGAAGACATGTATATCTAAATATATTTTTTAGGTAAAAATATGAAAAGGTTGAAATACTGGAGCAAAATAGTTGAGAAAAAAAAAGTAAATCTTGCAGGATAAGTAGGAATGTTCTGATATTAACTTTTGAAATCTATTTCATTCCTTAATGAAAGGCTTCTGAAGTTTTTTGATTTTTTTGTTAATAAATCGATTTATAACATTTTTCATATACTCTTTTTGAGTATCTATGCTCTTTATTTATTGGTCTTCAAGAGGCTGTTTTTTTAGTAGTTGAGACCTGTTTTAAGAATCTATTGGAGGAAACGTTAGCTGCTCACGGATCTTTTTTCTGATTTGTTCAGGCTGGTCTAATCTTTCTCTTTTTAAAACTATTTTTTTTCGAGTTCTTTTACATTTTTCTGTTTTTTTATATCTTCATAATAACAACATTTCATTTTGATTATCGAACCGCGATATTTATGTTTTAACATATAAATGAAAGCAATCTGCAAATGCTGAATTACTCATACGGGAAACTGATTACGCTCATGTGCTGTATTTTAGTGATCCGATATTTTTTAACTACGGTTCTTCAATCATTCACCGTTTTTGCTTAATTTTTCTAATGTATATCTCTTGATTTTTGTTGAATTTTAGACACTCATTCGTTAAGGTTTGTGCAGTTTGTTACTGTTAAAAAATATTGCCAGCTAAACGTGGGTATAAATAAAATCATCTAAACACAACGAAAGGTTACTTGCTTTGGTCATTTTTACACCTCCCTTACTTCTCTTTTTATTTTTTTTTAAATTATTATTTGCCTTTGCCTTAAAGTTTATTAAATTACTTGTTTATTTATAAAAAGTTGAGGATATTTTTTGCTGGAATAAAGGGTAATAAGTATATTTAAATAACGTCGTCAATCTACAATTTTTTTTTCATTTATTTTTCTTTGGTTCGTCGTGCTTACATAATCAATTTATTTTATCCGCCATCTTTTTTGTTTTGTTTCAATTTCATTTAGATGAATAGATCCTCTTTTCTCAAAAAATAGATGCATTAAGGTTGTTGAACTAGTTTTTTATGCTGGTAAGTTACGGCATAATTAGTTCAGGAATTTTAAAGATATTTCGCTTTTTCTCTTTCTCAAACCAAATCACTTTGTCATTTGGTTAAGAAACACTTCCAATGCGTGGGTTCGACATTAGTTTCAACCTGTAAAACACTTTTTGACATATAAATGGATTTTAATCACTTTGTCAGTCAATTAAAAAACACTTCCAGCGCGTGGATTCGACATTAGTTTTAACCTTTAAAACACTTTTTGACATATAAATGGATTTCAACAAGCGTTGTTTGGAGTCTTTTTTAATAATATCAGGTAGACTTGTCAGAGGGCTTGTAAAAAAATTTTTGAGTAGGTTTTTTGATTTACACATGTGTTGTATAAAGCGGTACAATTGAAAAGTTTTTTTGAGCCCCTAGATTATTGGAAGTGTTATTTGAAAGTTTTAGACAATGGTTGGTGTCAAAGTAGAACTGTCATCTACAGAAGAAGAATTATTGAACGTTTTGGGTAAAAATGTCGATGGGATCTCCAACGACGAACTTATGAAACAAACTGCGGACATGGATAGTAAAGCCCGTGGAGACGCTGTTAATAAACTTTTGGCTCTGGGGAAAATTGAGATGTTACCTGGTACATCAATCGGCTCCTTTTCACTTCGCTTAAGGCACACTACTGAAATTCCTGGTCTTTCTGCAGAGGAGCAACTGGTAGAGTGCTTCATTCATTTCTTACTTTCTAATTTTTGGTGCACTTTTTAAAAATTTTTTACAGTTTTCAACATTGTAGTTGAAATGGGCGGTAGTTGAATACTTCCATTGAAATTTCTAAATGCCATTTTGTCTAGCTTTCTTAGTTAAAAGTAATTAATTTTATAGAAATTGCTTGTTTCAACTTCGTCTAGTTTTTGAAAGGTTTTTCTAGTTTGTTTTCTACACTTTCTTTATTTAAAAACCCTCATGAGCTGCAGCAACAATTTTCAGGTTTATTCGGTAATAGAAGAGACTGGAAAGATGGGAATAGCTCTTCGGGAAATAAGAACTAAAACTGGACTCACTCAGTTACAGATAAAGAGGGCTTTGAACGCAGTTGAAAATAGGAAACTCGTGAAGTCTGTAAAAGTGATTACACCGTTTTTTAGTTGTTAATGTTTCTACTGCCGAGTCTTTACATCAGTTTCATAATTGTATTATTTCCCTCGATACTCTTTTATAGGTGGAACTATTTTTCTTTTCATTATTCCCAATTCTTACCTTTGTTTCGAGGCTTTTAAATTCTCAAAATTAGAACCGTATTACTTGCAGTTGCTTGAAGAAATTCCTTTTCATTGTTTCTTTTTAAAAGAAGGTCCAACTTTCAGGCCGTAGGCTCTTCTGCAAGAGCTGCTAAGAAGTATATGCTTTATGAGGTTGAAGCTGACGAGTCTTTAACAGGTGGTACATTTTATTCGGACCAGCAGCTTGACTCTCAGTTTGTGGAGACTTTGGTTCACGTTTGTGTTGCCATGCTCCAGGTAGCAGTTGCTCCACAGTAGAGAAGTTCAGATTATTTGAAATTTCTCTGTAAAGTAATAATTTCTTATCTGGAAATATTAAATTTTAACGGCTTTTTAGAGTAAGCGGAAAATGGCTGAAGAAAATCACAAGAATGATCCATTAGCTGCAAAAGAGTTCTCCTATGTACGATCATCCGAAGTGGCAAGTTTTGTTGCTGAGAAAGGAGTATGTCGTGTGCACTTGTCACTTAAAGACATAGAAAGGATTCTGGAAATAGCAGCGCTAGATAACTCCGTTGAACGCCGAGCAGATGGCCTTTATAGGGCAACAAATTGTTCTTGTTCTGTTCGGTCGGCAGTGGCTTTAGTGCCCTGCATACATTGCCCTGTTGCAAGGGATTGTAAGTCTGGCTATATGATTTCACCGCAGACGTGCTCTTACTTTAATGACTGGCTAAAGCAGGTTTGATTTTCGAAAAGGGGCGGCTTGTAAATTGTGTTTTATGAAATATTTATAGTGACAGCTAGCGCTATGACTCGTTGGAGGTTAGATGAGAGATTTAAATTTGAAAAACCTGATTTTATTATAAAAACCTTTTATCGGAATTTTTCTTTTTGGGTTTCATTTGAAGTCAGCAGTCACCATTTGGTTAATGGACTTGAAAGTTTTATGGATTAATAACTTCAATTTGCTAACTATAATAAATGGTTCTTTTAAATGCATTATAGTTAGAGTTAAACATGCTGTCACAAATTTCCCCCTGCTGTCAGTTATAACATTTTTAATAAGTGGTACGGTTCAATAAGTAAGCAAAAACGGGAAGGACGGGATAGTTTGTTTTAAAGATTTCGATGCTCCTTGTCCTAAGTCTAAGAACCTTTCTGGCAGCGGATCCTTTGGCTGGAGTGAAACGAAGCGAACAGTCTTTTTGAAATTCCTTTTTTCATGTATTTTTTGAGATTCTATCGTTTCATTTTATATAAAACCCTTTGTATTTTTGCAATATGAAATTCTTTGCACTTTTCATCTCATTGATCTCCAAGCAATAAAGAGAAGAATATTCAATTGAGAGTTTCTAAAGCGTCTTTAATTACTCAGTAAAAAAACTCCAACCGTAATTTCCGTTTAGAACCCTACACTGAAAAAGTAAAAACATAATGTTTACTTTGATTTCTGTTTTACAGGGGTTTTCACGATTTACATTAGCGTTTTTTTCCCGTTTTTACGCACAAATGCATCTGTTCTAATAATACAATCAGCATATGCGTCTCTGGCTAGTTTAAAAGCTTTTGTTTGTATGACACTTGCTGACAGATCGCAGAAGAGTGGGAATTGCTTGAGCTGAAATGTTATATTTTACGGTTGTTCATGCATTCTATTAAACCTCTTTCTAAAATTTGTCGGAGCTGAAGAGGAGTAATGTTCAGGGCAACTGGAAAAGCAATCCGTCGGCACAAACTCCCCTTTTAGCTAACATTTTTCCTAGCCATTTGTATTTAAATGAATCATGCATTCCAAAAAAAAAAAACCACCAAAGAACAGGGCAGCTAGAAATTGGTAAATAAAGAGACGGGCAAAACATGCTCCTCATTCAGTAGAAGCGATTTTTGAAAAAAAAGAGTAACAAAGATTACATAGTGCTTAGGAATAAGCAGCTGAAGTTAAAGAAAAATGAACAAGCAGAGCACTTGTCATCTTTACAACTAAATCACTGTTGTTGAGGCGGGTCTTCAGGAGGTTGGGCGTTACCAGTATAACGTAGGGCAAACATTTGACGAAATAATCCTCCCGCCCGTCCAACTACACTGTTGAGTTGAATAACCTGAAGAGGAGGCACTTTTCAACAATACAACTATTATGTTCAACTCCCGGAGAGTTGTTGGTAAGTGTGTATAACAGATTCATTTGATAACTTAATTACATCACATTTAATAAATATGTGACATTTAACATTTAATAACTGCTTATCGTGATATTTTTTAGATAAGTTTCAAACACCAACAGAATTGGTTTTTGATGACACCGAAGGTGTGACTTTGAAGACGTAAGCATGAAATCTTTTCTATTATTTAGACATTAAAATGATGCATTTCTCAGCCGACATCACTCCCTAGCCTAAATAAAAATTAATAAAGCGAGAGGGGTGAGAAAGTTAAGTGCGTGTTCCACTTCCGTTCTGGGAGTTAAATAAAGGGAATATGAAGGTTAAAAGTTGTTAATGAAATGATGATTTTGCTGGAACTACAAAATAAGTAGCTAAAAGAATTTTAGTAGGATGACCAAACACTAAAAGTCTTCTACTTCTATAGGCCTAATAACTCCATTTCAGCAGAACTTTAATACTGTGGATTTTCGCCTATATATCTGGAATGACTTTGCTGATTATTATGTATGAATCTATTAAACCAGTATTTTTCACCTGATCTTCTTCGGGCAATAATGAAGTTACAAATCTCCAAAGTGGGGAAACTGGAGCAGATGGCTGTCTTGCTTGTGGTCCATAAGTGCTAGTCGATTCGTATGGCGGTGCTGGATCAAATAAAGTCCATTCCGCATTCTGCATAACATTCCACAAGTACCCGTGCCTCTGTACATTGCGTGGTATCCCAACATAAGCTTTCCTTCTAAATCATGCTTAAATAGATACTTATAAGAAAGTTAGAATAATAAAATCCATTTTGAAAATTCATTCTAAAGTCACAGGATGACCTAAAAAATGATTGGAGTGGTACAAAATTTTGAAACAATAATTATAAGTAGTATGCACTCAAGTTTAAAAAAATATGTAGATTTTTTGCCACAAAAGAATAAAAAGCAGCAATACTTTTTAAAATGACAGAAAATATTTTTGAAAATGCACTCAGCAAACTCTAGGCATAAAAACTTCCTTAACTGTTTTTTTCAGAATTGACGCAAGACGAAATTGCATAAGCAAAACTTTTTTGTAAACAAATCCCCCTTTTCCTAGGAAAAAAATAAGCTTATTTAAAGGCGTTCATTACACAACTACAAAGCTTTTCAGCACTGCATGGTCGACTAGGAAAACTGAGTGTAAGCAAATAAAGTAAATGAGTCTTCCGAGAGATAATGACAAAAAGTTTTGAATGGTTATAACGGTAATGACTCTAAGGAGTCAATTTCAAATAAAATTTAGTGACAACCAACAGGCTAACATTTTAGCCCATTCTTTAATTTCAGTTACATGATCGCTTAAACCGTTTACAGCTGCTCGCGTTGCAGATTCTAACCAAGACAGAATATAATCTTCCTTCCACAAATCGTGACTTAATTGAACGTAAACCTCCGTTAAATGTTTGATGCCTTCAGACTCCCTAAAAATGCAGTTTTAGAAAGATGTAATACAGAACTTTGAAAATAGAACAAAGAAAAAAATTATCAGAAGTACCTTTCGTGAGCAATTTTATTCATATAAGTGTTATCTTCAATATCGCGGTCAGGTTGAATATTAATCTTGTCAAGAATCTGTATAAGCACTGTAGGGAAATGATATATAGCACTTGCTAACTAAAAAAAACTTGCATTTTTAGTGAAGTAAAAGCAACTTCACAATTTTTAAAAATACTGCATCTAACTTCATCATCCCTTTGTTTGGTAATTTTTTGTAACAGTTTTATTATTGGAGGTGGGGGGGGGGGGCCACAAACTCAAAAAGGAACTACTGCTATATCTACTAAAACTGTGTTCGGCTTCTTCAAAAAACTCTTATTCTTTTAGCGGATAAGGATGTATTGGTTGTTAGAAACTACTAAAAGCAGCGACTTAAACACTCAAGAAATTTAGTAACGAGAAATAAACAAACTAACAGAGCTGTTAGCTCTCCCAAGTTCATCATTATCGTGGTCGGTGTAATATAGAAGAAAATGAGCTAAAGCTAACGAATAGGCAAAACTCGGTAATTTTTCTAGGCGTCGTGAATCCTAAAATCATAGAAGTTAATGAGTAATAAACGAAATGGCTTCCAAATAAATACATTGTATCGTTTGCATAACCTCACTAAGGGCCAATAAGAGATCTCACGACTTCCATTATTAGTTTGTCTAGTTCACCAATAACTTTGCAAATCAGCACGAACTACTGCAAATGATAAAAAATGCGACCTAAACATAAACTACCAAAGCTTACTTTCAAAGCTTCGTAAAGCTGGAAAAGATAACGATATTCTCCAGCTTTCAGGGCGAGAGTATCTATAGTAAGGGTGATTGCTAAAGGGTCGTCAACAGGATCCAGGCGATAAATAAGTTTTGCAAGATTTAATGCAGCAACAAAGCAGCTCCTGTCTAGCATATTACGCATGTGTCGATGTAGAAGCAAAAAGAACGCCCTGTTTTCAAATACTCGGTAACTGATGCGATGCTTATGATTGTTTAATTCGAACTGAGTAGGAAATACATTCTCACAACAAAATATACCTCGTTCTGAAAAAATAAAAATAACGAAGTTTTCCTGTACATGTAAGGACGCTCTCTGCATAATAATTCGTTTGTAATGCAACCTCCAGTATATGAATGAAGAACGGAACAACAAATTTCAATTTTAAGCTAATGCCAAGTGCTTCTAGGAAAATGTTTAGACGGCACAACCCAACAGCTGAAAGCCACCCTTAATAAACCATGTATTTCGTAATCGCTGACTCAGTTTTTAAAATCTGAGACAGTGCATCTGAGTCAATGCTGATTTTAAACACCCCCAGTCACTATCAAACAAAAAAATGTTGTCGCAAACTAGTGCATATATAGGAAGTCGCGCTACATTCGCTACATTACTATAAAACAAACAAATGAGATATTTTCCCCAATACCAATAAGATCTCGAGCAACTTGATATTCTTCTTGGTGCCTCATAATTTCCGCCATAACCAGAAGACTGTCTAAATGATAGGGACATTCGCGAAGAATTTCCTGAAACCACATATGTATGACCGACCCCTGGAAAAAGCTCAAATAAAAAGGTTTCTTATAAATTTCCTAAAAAATACATCTTCTTTTGAACCAAATTACTTGAATCCCTTCATGATTTACAGCATCCGCGTATACCCAGAAAGCTTGCTGAAAAGTACGATATGACATATGGTGTACAAATTTAAACCACAATACATCCGGCTCTTCATGATCAAGTTCCATAGCAAGTCCTAAAAGCTTCAATAACTGTACAATAAAAAACCAGATTTCATAAAACGTCTCAAACCCTATCTAAACTTCCAGAGTTTAATGGAATGCTAATTTCAACGCCCAAATCCTCATTACCAATAAACCAGTTGACCGTAAAAGCTAACCAAAGTTCCTTAATTCAGGCCATGTATTTTTCTTTTTCACTATTCTGCCAAACGTCCTTTTCTGGTGATGATTTCGCAGCTCATTTGCTTTCAGGCCTACCATTTTTCGAAATTCAGCTTCTCCGTTGAGTAGCCTTGTCTCAACCTATGTAAAGCATTATATGCAATTAAAACTCAAAACAGGAAACTCAGTTTCAAATTCAAGTGAATATCCCGTAATGTTAACTATAAAAAAGCATAATGTAAATGAGCAAAACATCTTAAAACAAGCAAAAATACTATCCTTTGGCAGAAATCGAATTACGAATTCAAAGTTCAGGCAAAAGTTTTTGATTTTAATCCAGTGAGAAATATAAACATATAAAAAGGTTAACCTTAAAAACATCGCTTTCAAAAACAAGGTTTCCGCAAGAAGAATCGTTTATAGTCTCTACATTGTTCCCTACAGACGTAAGAAGATCATCCTCGTCTTTAATGTTCTGACGCTTCTCTTCTTTATTGTTCTGACGCTTCTCTTTCCTCTTCTGATTTTTCTTCTTCTTCTTTGTTGTTTTAATGTGCGACTGCACATCCTCAACGCAAACCTCCAACTTTTCATTACCCTTGGACTCATCTTCAGGCGAATCTCCCAAAAACGCAAACCTAGAAGCCTTGAACCAATGGTCTTATTCACTTGAGACACTTCAAAAATTAGATTATGCTAAGAGACTATCTAAAACCAAGTGACAAAAACTGTAAATCGCGAAAGTAGAAACAGCCTCAATCAGGAGTATTAGAAAAACTTCTGGCAAAATGATTAGTTTCCACAATTCCATAAAGTAGTTAAAACTGGAAGTCCTATCCAGTATAAAACTGTAAAAATTAATGAAAATCTAGCACTGTAAAACTAAAGCATCTATTTCATTATCAGGATTATCTCTTTGATCAAATCTAAAAACTGAAGATGTTTAGCTCTTGGTGGTATTTCATT